TATATATATATATAATCCTACAAGAATGATTAGATTCTAAAACTAGGCTCATAATCTTAATGGTGTTATTTCTTATTTTTGCGCTGCCCCGTACTTGTTGCCACTCCCGAAAACATGTTAAAGCTATTATTATGCTTTATCCCATCACCTTAGGACATCTGACATCTGTTGTTTCTACCTTCCCAGTCGCTCCTCCCCTTCCCCTTGTTGTTGCCGACCCCGTACTACTCATTCCCTGGCTATTGTTGATATAAAGAACCGGCCCTTCACATAAATTTAGACACCTTTTTTATTATGTGAAACTTGGAAAACATTATCCTTACTGTTATAGTTTTCAAATCACCATTTTTCATCAACTACCACATTTCAAAACCTCACTGACCATCACGAGCACCCCTTGGGATATAATACTAATTGTTTTTGGGCCGTGTATATTGTTATTTCTATTTTTCTCATGTGGTTGTAATTCTCTAATTCTAAATTTAACAATAATATTTGGTTTCCCCTCACTATTTGGGTTAACTCTGATATTATTTGGTATCAGAACTAGCTCAACCATAATCCTATCATGTGATTACTAGCATTCACCCATACCCAATTCTATATCCACCAATTTTTTTTCTTTTAAACCCTGCATCACCCTTACGCAACTCCTTCCACCTATTCATTACCAAATCCTAATCCATGCCACCACCAATATAATTGACAGAACTCGATCAAGAGTTCATCGTGAAAGAGATACAATGAAAACTTCATTGAGTGCTATAACAACTTAATGAAATTGAAAAAAGGGTTCACCCAAACTCCATTTGATTCTAAAGACAAAGGACCACTACCTAAGAGATCCGGCATGAGATATCAGAGAAACCAAGATTTGGAGGTAAAGGAATATTTGTCATATTTTGACAGCCATATGGATCCGAAAAGTTCATCGAGTGGCTCTAGATTATGAAACTTTTCTTTGAGTGTCAGGACGTCCCTTTCAGAGAGAAGGGTGTAGCTAGCTACCAACAAGTTAGAAAACAGTGCATTATTTTGGTGAAAATTTTTGAAACACATGTGTTAGCGTGAGGGAAAAGATAATATCACTATCTAGTCCAAGAAGAAACAGAGATGCAACGTTGGTGCCTACCAGCTCACTACAGACCAAATGTTTAGACCTAAGCTTCAAAAGTAGAGAGACCACAACACTGAGCGACATCAAATCTTATAGGTATGGCTCAACCCAAGGATCTTATGGCTAAAGTACGCCCATTGGATCATCCAAGCTGATCCTCTGATTCTACGTAGAGAACGCGTGGAACAAACCAGTACTTTGTACTCTCGAATCAATCCTAGCCATACATTCTTTCAAGTGTTGGAGTTACTATCTTTTTTTATTGTTGTTATATTTTCTATCTGTATGATGAAATGCCAAAGCATCGAAACGGGAGTATCTAGTTGTCGTTTTTACAGTCAACGCGCTTCCTTACAGCCAAAGGCTTTTCATCGAACACATACTGCGCACGTAATTGGCCGGGCTTTCAGGTCATGGCGAATCGAGGAGAAGAAGAAGAAGCGGCTCCTCTCCTTCATCCCGAAGCTCATAATGCAGATAGCGTCTTCTTAGCTGTTCCCCAACCGCGGGCTCCGCCACCGGCCGTCTCTCCGGCGCCCTCCACAGTCGTGGACTGCGGTGAGAAGGGATCTTCCAAATGGACTGCAGAGGGCGTGCCGCTGGTGTTTGCTCACGGGAGCATCGTCGGTGAGCCATTGGTGCGCGATCAGTGGGATTCTGGACTATTCTCCTGCCTCGGCCGCAACGATGAATTCTGCAGCACCGATCTCGAAGTTTGTAAGTTCGATTATCTGTTTTACTTCAGCTTGAATCTTGGGGATTGAGACAATTTCTGCTTTTCTCAAAATGTTTTCCTCTTGAAATTGACATGGGAAATCATAGATCCGTAGTTTCCGAACGTCGAACTTTTTTTTTACATTATTGCTTTTTTTAGAACTTGCAAGGCGATTTGGGACTCGTTGTGGCAGGAATTATTTTTCCAGAATCTTGATTAGCCGTCAACTTTTTCATTTAATCAGCACACAAAAAAATTTCCGAGGGTTGATCAATCTTTTTGGATCTTTGGGCAATTAACTTTTTTTCCATGCACAATCTCTCATCAATCCCTAGAACACTTTTTTAAAAATTCTGAATATTCAGGCCAAATGTTTAGTTCTGTACATTAATTACCGGTTAAAGCTGAACATTTCGCTTGTTAAGAGAGCTATAAGTGATTAATCTTTGACTTCTGCACACTATTATTTCGATAATAGGTTTAATTTGCTCGGAAGCTTTGAAGGGACTATAGATCCTGGTTTGTAACTGCAGTGCATGTTACTACTATATAGAAGTCATGTAGACATCTTGAGATATTATTGCTAACAAGTGAGAATTTTCAAAACTCTCTAACCTTACCAAGACCTACACTTGTTTTATATGAAGTATTTTTATTTAATTTTCTCTTATAAATTTACTTTTATACAAATAATTTTTATATAGAAAGCATGGCATCAAGAGAAATAATGTCATTCCTTTTGAAGCAAATTTTGATTTTTGATATGTTTATTAATATCTCCAGAGGCGAAACCAATATTATTTATTAGGGTGAGTGAAAAAATATTGAATTTTACTATTTATATAGAGAAATCTCAAATCCTAGGAGGGCAATTGACTACCTCGGACATAACTTGGTTCCACCCCTAAATATCTCAACCCAAACATCTTGAGTAATTTGTCTTGAGGGCTTACCCTTACACTAAATTGCCTAAACTAGATAAGAAAAAAATATTAAATTTTACTTTTATATAGAGAAATCTCAAATTTGAGGGTGGGCAATTGTCCACCCTGGACATAACCTGGTTCCTCGCCTGAATATCTCAACCTAGACATCTTGAGTAATTTTTCTTGAGGGTTTACCCTTAACCCTAAAAATTAACTAATAATCCTTCACTTTTTTTGTTGAAAGACATTAGATTTTAATATTTGGATGCAGGAGCCTCTAGTTTCATATCAAACATGTATTATAATTCTCAAAGGAATGTGTAAAAAGTGCTTCCATGATATTATCTTGTAGTGAATTTTCATTAGAAAGGAGGTATTTTTGACTTTTGCCTTACCAAATTTGTTACTGCAAGGATTCTCTTCTTAAATTTAATTTCAATTCATAGATCCTTATAATTGTGCATTTGGTTGTTTCCTACTTTTCCTTGTTCAGCTTAGGCAAGCACTATCTTTTCCAACCACTACTTTTGAACTGAAGAATCTAAATAGGTTTTGATTTTCACTTTGTCTTGTCTTATCCAAAATAAGGAGGTGATGATGATGGAATGCATCTTTTAAATTTATTTTTAAATATATTTTAAATTTATTTTTAATGCACACTTTCTGTAATTCAAATGCTAAGGATCTAAATTTAAGTTTAGGAATGAGGTTTCTTTCTTTTAATTTAATTTAAGGAATTTTAGAAGCTTACTAGAAAGCCTAAAATGAATTTAGTAAAATTGATTTTGAAATGTATCATAGTTTTTATGTGTACTCAAGTTCGAAGCGCCAGAGAAAACTAATTTTTTCCATATCTAAGAGGCCACTGGCCATTACCTGTAGTGGTGGAACAAGTATGCAGGTTATAGTAATCCAGGTATTTTTGCTTCTCAATTTGATTTTCAAAATGATAGACTGATCAATCCTTGACTCTCAAATTTAGGATTAATGTTGTTTAGATTAATGATAAATCCTTAAATGTTGCTTTAGTTCTTGTGAATCCTAATCCTAATAGTGGGGTTCATAATTTAGGGCATTTGAAAAGTTAGGCTGTCCCCATAAAACTTAATTTGATGGTGATCAATATATCAATATATTTGATTTCATTCAAATAATTTCCCCCTCCCTTAAATAATATCTAATTATTAACTGCCTATGCAAGGATGTAATGTTCTAAGATAAAGTAATACTAGAATGCTCTTATTCGAGGATGATGAAGTATTAGTTTGTAATGTCTCGATCTCCTTTAATTTTTCTTTGATTTCCCCCATTCTTATTTTTATTGGGTCTACTTTTCTTTCTATAATCCTTTTTTTCCTAATATGATAAATTTCTTCTTGTGCCCTCACCTTTGATTTTCTTGTGTGGATGTGAGAGTGCAAGTTTCTATGTAATTTCAAAGAGAGAATGGTGAAGATATATAAACTTGATTATGTTGTATGTTAACTTCAATCAAATCAAACAATATTTTCTCGATGCAAGGTAATATTCAATGTTGAATAATTCGTCACCCATTCTGCGTAATCGATACTTGATAACCTTGATTACAGAAAATGCTCTTTTTATTGTAGTAATAACCACTCGTAACGTTAATTCTAAGGTAATAACTTTGTAAATTATGGGATACACACTATTATTTTTTACTTTAATTGTTTCTTTCATATGATCAACTATTGCGCCGCGCCCTATAATGAGAACTCATCACTGATGTATATTTTATTATGTAATTGGAAAATTGATTCTCAAGAGCTATATGCTCAACTGTAGAAAAATTAATTGGATATAAATTCTCAGGGTAAATTAGTTTCTCCTTATTGAAAGAACATAATGAATCACTTGATTTTAACGCATCACATAAATAGACAACTCGTTACTAGTCTGATGAAATGGTTAAATAGACAAACTTTAAATATAGAGTTCATATTTAGAAAATCAATTTTATAAATATTATAAAAGTGTAACACTTCATTCAATAAAGAATTTTATCTATTCTTTCTCATAATTTGTAGTTATTATTTAATATTTGTACTGATTTCATCTCATTTTTAGTGTCTTAATATTTATATTATCTAAGATGTTAATCATTAAATGCATTATGAATATAAAGTTAAAGGATGATATTATTATATCTATTAACACATTAGCTTCAATCAACTGTTGATCATGTATTCCATTCTCCTTCATAAAGAACTCAAGTACAAAACATACATTTTCATGAGATTAATTAGAATGTTAAAACGTGAAAGCTAATAAGTGTCACTAATTAGCTTTTAGATGAAATGGTTTATTTTATAAATTTATTATTTTATTTATTAAAATTCAACGTCTTTCTGCACATCTAGACTTGCAGTTGCAGCTGTGGCTTTGTGTGAGGCTTGTTCGGTGTCCCACACTGGATGCGTAGGCATTTACATACATACTACCCAAATTCCTATGTATTTATATATCTAACATCTAAAGTTTAATTGCTTTTTACATTTGTGCCACCAAAATCTTTTATATCACATAAAAGTGCTACTATTATAACTTTTAAAAAGTAAAATACATCTTTTCATGCATCAATAAGGTGACATATATGCAAAAAATTGAAGTTTTGCTGTTAGATGTGTAAATAACATATGAATTGATTGGTATGCTTGTAAGTCTTCGTTTCTACGACTGAATTTCTTACTATCAGTTACTGTACTGACTTAAATGGCAACATTTCAGGTCTTCTTGGAAGTTTTGCTCCATGTGTGCTATTTGGCAGTAATGCTGAGAGGCTTGGATCAGCTCCTGGGTCATTCATTCATAACTGCTTCACATATGCCGGCCTTTATATGCTCGGAAATTGTTTCTTTGGCTGGAACTGTCTAGCACCTTGGCTTGCTTACCCTCGCCGTGCGGCGATTCGGCGAAGATTCAATCTTGAAGTAAGTTATATCGTAATTTACGTGCATATCAGTCAATTCCTATGTAATTTACATATATTTCATTTTTGAAGAGTTAAAATGATGGTATTTTTTATGCGGTAGGAAAGATTTGAGTGGTATAAATGTAAAAATCAAGTTTAGGTGTTAGATTTGTATATACATAAGAACTGGGTGGTATGTGTGTAAATGCCCCATAGTTATATCATAATTATTTATTTTTTTGTATGTTTTTATTGGTGATTGCTTCTGGATTGTATTTTCTATATCTTTTGACAAATGTTAGTTAAGCTGTATTTATTTTTTGGGGCATTTATATACATACCACTCAAGTCTTATGTATTTACATATCTAACACTTAAAACTGTACCTTTTTTATTAATACCACCGAAATATTTCATATCACATAAAAAATACAATCATTTTAACTTTTAAAATGTGAAATGCACATTTTCATGCATAAGTAAGGTGACATGCATGTAAAAATTGAAGCTTAGGTGTTAGATATGTAAATACATAAGAATTTAGTGGTTTGTATGTAAATCTTCCTATATAATTGCTTGATTATTTCCTTTGCCATGATGGGTAATACAAGCATTATATAATAGGGGCATTTATGCATTTATATACATACCACCCAATTCCAATATATTTACATATTTTACACCTAAACTCTACTTTTTCACATTTATACCTCTCAAATCTGTCATATCACATAAAAAATACTATTATTTTAACTTTTAAAAAGTGAAATACGTACGCCTTTTCATGCATAGGCAAGGCGGCGTCTATGACAAACTTGAAATTTACATGTTAGATATGTAAATACATAAGAATTGATGGTATATAGATGTAAATCTTTCTATGCGTTCTTATGTTTTTAACATTTTATCATAACATTTACCTCTTCCGTAGTTATATCAAAATCAAAAAGCTAAAATTGAATAATGTTTAAACCGTTTGATTCTTTAAAGACCGGACGAGCTCTCCAATTCAACCCCGATTATGACCGGTTCTATTCCGGTTCTATGTCAAAATGGTTTTGAGCTTGGACAGAAACCGGTTCACGGTTGAATTGGCCGGTCCGATCCGATTTTTAAAACCATGTTTATAATACTAATTTTCTTTAAAATGGGGGATTAATCTATTCAGGGAAACTGCGAGGCATTAGCAAAGTCTATTGGATGCCACGGAATAGTAAGTGATGAAGAAAGTCGCGAGCAATTGGAGTCAATATGCGATGTTGCAACTCACGTGTTTTGTCACCCGTGTGCGTTGTGCCAGGAAGGGCGAGAGCTTCGCCGCAGATTGCCACATCCTTGCTTGGCTGCTACATCTATGATGATTATGATGCCTCCCATGGAGCAATGTATGGGACGTGGATAATTAGTTACATACAGGCCATCCAAAACATTGATATTTACAAATTGATCATCATTGATTCTTTTTGAACTACCGAACCGTTGTATTTATTATGCTTGCCACGATCAAACTATGCTCTTTTTAGCGAGTTATTTTAACGCCCAAAGTTTATAAAAATATGTTCTTTTGATGGGGGCTAAAATAGCCATCATTGCGAACTATTTTAAGCCCTCATTAAAGCAGTATGTGGACTATTTTGCTATTTTTATTGAGTCTGAGACTAACATGGCAGGAGACTACTTTGACATTTCACTCTGGTGCAATTTTGAAGACATTCTAATGCATTCTATGTTAGTATGTTATATATATGCTAAGAGTAATTTGAATGGAAATGTGTTTGTTAATATGGAGGAGATAATTTACTATACAACAATGAGGCTAATTTATTTAAGGAAATAAATTGGATAGTTATTGTCCATTTATTGTAACAACTTGAAAATTTTGGAAATATTTTGCAAGCTTGCCACACTATTTCTATGTATTTGCATATTAAACTTTAATTTTTTTCATTCATGCAACTTTATTTATACATGAAAAATGTGTGTTGTAGTGATATTTTTTTATGTGATATGCAAGTTGATACGCCACAAACAAATTTTCATCACCCGACACGAATTTTGATCATGTCACGGATTCCGAGATGATATTTTGAGTAAAAAAATATTTAAATTTTGATAAAAATTCATCCATATCTCTGATTTCAACAAACTTATAGTCAAACTGACCGGCTCGATGAGACAGACTTAATGATATAAAAATTAGTCTAATCAGAGTCAAATCAAGCTCAGATCAAGTCATTAAACTACCCTTAAAATATTTTTGGACACATTTGGAAGGTCAAATATATGTTGACACTACCAAGCTTATACTAGAATCGAGTGTCTCGACAAGACAAATCCAACGAGCCCAATATCACTCAATTCTGACATCGTTAAGGCACTCAAATGTCCATTAAACGTCGCATAATCCAAGAAAATTCTCTGGACTGTCCCATCAAAATGGTTGATACTCCTGCATAAATTGCACCCATAACATTATAAATAGACCTACACCCCTCACATGAAGGGAAGCTGAAGTCTAGAGAGAGGGCCTGAGGCCTTGAGAAGAAGCTGCAGCTCAACATCACCGTCGATTGTCGTCGCCCACTGCCGACATCCGTCGTCAACAGCTGTCGACCACCGTCGACCGCCAACAACCACCGTCGGCTGTCGTCGACCACAGCTAACCGTCATCGACCACCACTGATTACCATCGATCACCACCAACTAGACGTCGTCAGCGACGTTGTAATCTGAAAAATATAATTACTTTTTTCCAGTCTGTGGGATAAGAAAATTATGTAATCATCAATTCAATAATGGATTTCTGCAAATTAGTCAGTTCCCGTGGTTTTTTCTTTACGGGCTTTCCACTTAAAAGTTATTGGAGTCATCACCTCTTGTTTCTTTTTCATCCGTGTGAGTGTTGAACTTTCATACAACGCTAAGACGATAGTCCGCTCCTCTACCGCCGCGAATTTTCTTGCACGCATCAAAAATGTCATTCCTTTAATAATTAAAATTTAGATGTGGGGTATGTAAATACATAAAAATTGTGCTATATGCATGTAAATGCACCAATTTACTATGCGTTGGTAAATTTGTGTGGGTTCAAAATATAAATACATGTTTAGTTTAAAAAAAGATCTATAAGATCTATAATTGTGTGATAAGCAAATAACATACAAATTGAAGAAAAAAAAATTATGCATATTATTAAACATATTAATCTTTATTACTCGAGATTTTATTATTATTATTATTTTAAAATAGTCTGAGACTATGATATGAGTTCCTAGCCGCCCTCATGCGGTTAAACACTCACTGCAAAGCAAATGCATTTAGGCGGGATCGAACTCGTGACTCAAGAGGACTTACACACGGTTGCACTACAAAAGAGTCACGACAAACATCACATTACTTGAGATTCTCTCATATATAATATGATTTAATTGAATAAAAATTATTTTATTTCTATATCTATATTTGCTGAAAAAGTAAGCCTTCAATTAAATTAATTAAATGCTTTTTTATAATTTTTTAAATTATATTTCAAAAAACTTAATCTTAGAATTAGTAAAGCGATTGACAGAGGATCTAGATGAGATTTTTATATAAAAATTAAAGAAGAAAAGCAGGGGCACCAGAGATTGAGAAGCACTCAAAATCATCTTATATCAAGCCATCATTTTTATAATTTGATTTATATGTGAATTGGCCAATTTATTTGGAATATGGAGCATATACTTCTCTAAATTAATATTAATAAAAAGCCTACTAAAGGCAAAATTATAATGTTAAATTAGAGACACTCTACTTGAATTCTTTATCCGAGTGGGGGCAACCACTAAAATAGAGTAATGAATCTAAATATAATGTAGTGAAAGAAAGAACCCTCTGGTCAGGGGTCTGAATCCCCTCTGACACAGTTGACCTTAAGGAGGTGGGTGGTATTTGAATTGTTAGGCACGTTAGAGGTGACTAGAGACTCGTATAATAGTCTGATCCTTCCTTAATAAGCCTTAAAAAAATTTAAAAAACTTTATTAGTACATTATTTTCTATATAAGATTGAACCCACCTAAGCATTTTAAAAGTCAAGTTGTAGTTGCCTCAATGTAAATGTATGATATGTTAAATCATTAAAATTTAGGTATTGCCACTAAGGTACTAAAGATGGCTTAATTATATGGTTATTAATGTTGACTCACCCATTTAGTTTTCTAGTGATTTACTCTTTAGTGAGATGATAAATTATTCTAATGTGAGTCACAATGGCTTGTATTTGTGTGTGTTGGCCAAATATTTGAATGAATTTTTACAAAGTAAAACCTCAAATTTATTTACAAAATGGTCCATAAGGAGGCAAAAGGATAATTTCCAATTAAACAATGGATTAAAAATAAATGATTACATTTTATATGGAATTAGTTTTTCATCCAATTTTTTCATCTTACATGAAATTGTCTCGTTATTATGAGAAATTATTACGTGCGATCACCGCACGTCTGAATGATAGTTTGACAAAAGCAAAAATACAACTACAACCTAGCCGTCTTCCTTGTGGGATCTAAATGTATGACCATCACAACATCTAATGTAAGTCAAGTCTATGTGTATGGCATTCTATTAGGCATATATTATCTTAGGGGCATTTAGGCACATACCTATTCTTATGTTATTTCACATTTTTTTAAGTATCAAATTCTTATGTATTTGGATATATAACACCTAAAGTATTTTACATGCATACCATCCTAATCTTTCACAACACATAAAAATAATATTATTTTAATTTTTAAGAAAAGAAATACAGATTTTCATGCATAAGTAAAGTGACGTGCGTAATATATGAAAGAAATAATAATAATGCATGAAAAAACAAAAATTTAACTTTAGGTCGATTCAAAAACATCAACCGTCTCACAGTTATTGACGGTTGTCTCACTCGAACTAGATGGAGGAACGCCTGATCAGAGAACTAGAGACTAGTTTGAATTTTAACTATTTTAAATACTCGTTCACTTGTCATAAACAAATCAACTTCAAGTATTACAAATTTTAGCAAGCCAAATTTGAACAATATGTGAAAGCTCGATAAGCCAAACATGAACAACTTACAATTATACCAACTCAAATCTAAAATATGATATACTCTGGCTCTAATATATGATATACTCTGGCTCGATTACAAACTAGGTGCAGTAACAGTGCAGCAATGTATGGTGTGCAGGGAGCACAGAGACTGACCAGCTGATGTTGTGCAGAAAAGTGGGAAGATTATATGTGAGGGTGCACCACCATGTAACAATGGTGTGCAGGGAACAGAGAGATTGACCAGCTGATGTTGTGCAGAAAAGTGGGAAGATGATATGTGAGGGTGCACCACCATGTAAAAATGGTGTGCAGGGAACAGAGAAATTGACCAGCTGATGTTGTGCAGAAAAGTGGGAAGATGATATGTGAGGAAGCACCACCATGTAACAATGGTGCTGCAACTCTGTGTTAGAGAGTTGGAAGAAGATCTAAGAAAGAGATCAATACGTGTAAAAAAAAAAAGGCAAAACTTGAATTAAGAACTCAAGGTGCAGAGTAGTTTAGCAAAGTTAACATCACAACATGATAAATTAAAGACAAATATTGTTCGGCTCACGCCTCACATAAACTCAACAACATGGAAATAACAAATCAAAATCCCACCGCCAGCGCCCATCCGACACCCACTCATTCAAATGGATGCTAAGATAGCGATACCGGATTAGACACTCTTACTAGAGGACTCGAAGACTAAAGCATAAATAAAACTCACAAAATACATAAAGTATATATATAACGATACAATCTCACCAATAAATTAGAAGGCTTTTGGTTTTATTTCTTCTTGGCAGCAGATCTTCTTGGCAGCAGATTTGGTAACCTTGGCTCCACTGGGATCCTTCTTCTCAACGCTCTTGATGACTCCAACAGCCACAGTTTGCCTCATGTCCCTCACGGCAAAACGGCCCAGTGGAGGATACTCGGAGAAGGTTTCGACCACCATCGGTTTTGTGGGAACCATCTTCACGAAACCCGCATCGCCATTCTTCAGGAACTTGGGCTCCTTCTCGAGCTCCTTGCCAGACCGTCTGTCGATCTTGGTCAGGATTTCGGCAAACTTGACGGCTATGTGGGAGGTGTGGCAGTCCAGCACGGGAGCGACCAGGGTGGTTCATTATGATGACCTGGGAAGTGAAGTTAGCGGCTTCCCTGGCAGGATCATCCTTGGAGTTTGAGGCAACGAAACCTCGCTTCAGATCTTTAACTGCAACATTCTTCACATTGAAGCCGACATTGTCGCCAGGGAGGGCCTCCTGAAGAGCTTCATGGTGCATCTCAACAGACTTTACTTCAGTGGTGAGACCGGTGGGACCAAAGGTGACTACCATGCCAGGCTTCAAAACGCCAGTCTCCACTCGACCGACAGGGACGGTTCCAATACCACCGATCTTGTAGACGTCCTGAAGGGGGAGTCGGAGGGGCTTGTCTGTTGGCCTCTTGGGCTCTTGGATCAGGTCGAGAGCTTCGAGAAGAGTTGGACCCTTGTACCAGTCAAGGTTTGTGGATCTCTCTATCATGTTGTCACCCTCAAACCCAGAGATGGGAACAAATGGAATCTTCTCAGGGTTGTAGCCAACCTTCTTCAGATAGGAGGAGACTTCCTTGACGATTTCATCATACCTAGCCTTT